ACCCGGGGACTGCCTGTACAGGATCTGTGGACAGGGACCCAGAGGAGAGAATGGGCCAGATTCCACTGCCACAGGCCAAGCAGTGAAACAAAAGACTGCCTGGGACTATTGTCTAATAGGATTTTGCTACCTTGACAGGGAGGACATTAATGGTGTAGTCAAAGGATCAAGCCATGAAGAGAGGGTGTCCTTAGTTACAGAGAAGAAGAGGCAGCAGGGTGTGCAAACAAATAGCAAAAAGACACCAGGAGGAAGAGAGCACTTCCTGACCAGGCCATCTTTAATTCCTAACTATTTTGGCATAGACTGGAAAACAAATGCACATTGTTGGAAGAAAAATTTCCTTCCCATCAATATTTGGTCAAGTTAGATCCCCCCCCCCCTTCCTGGCTATGTCTACACTGGCAGGTTAGTGCACAAGAACATCTTGCGCAAGAGTTCTTGTGCAAGAACTCGTGCACAAGAACACGTCCACACTGCCATGTGCGAGATGTGCTTTTGTGCAAGAAAGCTGATGGCCATTTTAGCCAGAGGGCTTTCTTGCACAAGAAACCCCTGCCGCGTGTCCATACTGCCCTGTGTCCACACTACCCTCTTGCACAAGAGAGCTTACACCTGTTAGAAAAGAGCATAGCTCTTGCGCACAAAGCCCTCTTTTATCACGCCATACTGTAAATCTTCTTGTGCAAGAGCGGGTGGGCAGTGTGACGCTCTGTGGAAGAACGGCCATCTTGCACAATAACCCACCAGTGTGGACATAGCCCATAGGAAAATGGCAAAGATTTGTCATTTCCCTTGAATTTCACCCCAATTTTGGAATATCACTGGAATATATACATAAAATGTGTTCTATACAACATATAAAATATGAATTTTGTTGAAATATAGTGGGCCAAAGCTGGTGCATTGTTCTGTCCCTGAGTACCTGGTACATCCTTGGTGAAATGCAATAGAAGCTATTCACACATATAACCTGCCATTCTGGAATAGACCAGAGGTCAATGTTCTATCTATACTGATAACCTATTCCTGAAACTGATCACTGATGGAAGCCTTTATAAGGTAACATGGAATGAACTTATTTTGTAACTTGATTTTTGTCATTTTAAATGGGAATTTTTGTGTTGCATTGACTTAGGTTTTTGGTTTTTGGGTTTTTTTTTTTGCATTAATCTATGGCAATATCACTGTTAGAATTGCACTGTTATTTATTTCAATAACAAGTTCTGTCCTACAGTAACAAGTTCTATAAGTCACTATATTGTATATAAAATATTTCCTCTTGTGGGTTTTCAAGGGTATCTCTCCTGCTCTGAAGGCAATTTTGTATTATGGCATTGTGAGATTCCATACTAACACCTTGTTTACACTAGAAAAGGTTTGATGATATAACTATATTAGCAAACCCTTCTAGCATAAATGTGGCTGCTAATAGCAAAAGAGTTCCTTTGCTAGGACAACTTATATCAGCTCCCTGAATGAAATAAGCTACATCTGTTGAAGTCTTTTTCTTTTCCTGACATAATTGCATCTACAAGAGGGCTTTTATTGGTGTAGAAAGATTATTAAAAACCCCACGCTCCTATGTAACATTACTATTCCAGTAAAGTTTCGAATGTAGACCATCCTGTAGTTTCTCAGGGACGTCATGGCAATTACACTTGAGTTACAAATTAAAGGGTATTATTTCTAGGCTATAGCTATACTAGAGTTTTCAGTGGCGGAGCTGCAGGCTGCTGTAAATTAATGTAACCGCTCTAAGCCAGTGAGAGAGAGATGTTCCGTCAGCTTCACAATTTCAGCCTCACCAGCAGTGGTAGCTATGTCGGCAGAAGCTCTCCACCAATTTAGTGCTGTCTACCCTGGTGCTTAATTTGGTGTAACTCATGTCACTCAGAGGGTGACTTTTTCATAGAATCATAGGGCTGAAAGAGACTGAAGGAGATCATTCAGTCCAACTCCCCTGCCCAAAGCAGGACCAACCCCAACTAAATCATCCCAGCCAGGGCTCTGTCAAGCCAGGACTTAATGTCTAATGATGGAGATTCCACCCCCTCCCTAGGTAACCCATCCCAGTGCATCCCCACCCTCCTATGGAAATAATTTTTCCTAAAATCCAACTTAGATCTCCCCACACTTCAACTTGAGACCATTGCTCCTTGTTGTCAGTCACTTGCACCACTGAGAACAGCCTCTCTCCATCCTCTTTGGAACTCCCCTTCAGGTAGTTAAAGGCTGCTCTCAAATCCCCCCTCACTCTTCTCTTCGGGACTAAACAAGCCCAAATTCTTCAGCCTTTCCTCATAGGTCATGTGCTCTAGCCCCCTAATAATTTTTGTTGCCCTCCACTGGACTTTCTCCAGTGCATCTCATCCTTTCTATAATGGGGGCCCAGAATTGGATGCAATATTCCAGATCTGGCCTCACTACTGCTGGAAATGCTCCTTCTAATGCATCCTAATGTGTCATTAGCCGTCTCAACTACAGGGGCACATTCCTGACTCATATCCAGCTTCTCATCCACTGTAGTCCCCAGGTCCTTTTCTGATGATCTGATGCTTAGCCAGTTAGTCCCCAGCCTGTAACAGTGGTTGGGATTCTTCCATCCCCAGTGCAGGACTCGGCACTTGTCTTCGTTGAACCTCATTAGCTTTCTTTTGGCCCAATCCTCCAATTTGCCTAGGTCACTCTGGACCCTCTCCCTGCCCTCCAACATATCTACCTTTCCCCCTAGCTTAGTGTCATCAGCAAACTTGCTGAGGGTGCAATCCATCCCCTCATCCAGGTTGTTAATAAAGATGTTGAACAGAACCAACCCTAGAGCCCACCCTTGGGGCACTCCACTCAATTTCAACCTCCAACCAGACATTGAGCCATTGATCGCTACCCATTGAGCCCAACAATCTAGCCAAGTTTCTATCCACCTTACAGTCCATTTCTTCAGTCCATACTTCCTTAACTTGCTGGCAAGAATACTGTGGGAGACCTTATAAAAGCTTTGCTAAAGATAAGGTACATCACATCCATCACCTTCCCCATGTCCACAGAGCCAGTTACCTCATCATAGAAGCTAATCAGATTGGTCAGGCACGACTTGCCCTTGGTGAGTCCATGTTGACTATTCCTGATCACCTTCCTCTTTTCCAAGTGCTTCAAATGGATTATTTGAGGATCCCCTCCATGATTTTTCATTCCTGAGTGCTAAGTTACACAGCAGTAAGTGCTAGCATAGACATAGCCTTGCTCTCAGCTCACTAAGAGCAAAGAGAAGCAAGGTGGGAATCTTTCTTTGTCATGCATCTTTGTCAGTAAAAACATTCCTAAGGCCAAATTAAATCCCCTCATACCTGTGCAACCTTGTTGTCTTCAAATAAGCTCACTGTTAAATTTGTGCAACCCACTGTGCCTGGGTTTACTTTGCACGGGCATCAGTGATTAGCACTTAGAACAGTTCTGTTTATGGTGTGCACTGAAGAATAAGCTATGCAGCTCACTCTCTGCACTGTGCTGATATGGTAGGGCTAGCAGCAGAAACAAAAAGAGAACTTATTTGTATCTGCTAACTCAAGTAGATGTAGTGGAGAGAAAACCACTGAGCCCCCAGTTCTCCCTTGCGTTTGCTCATACAATACCTGTGCTAATTGAGTATCAGATGCTACCAAATCATAGTTGTAGGGTTAAATTCTCTCAGGGCATATTAACTGATCTCAGTGGGACTATCTGTAGAAAATTTGGCCCCTGGTGTTATGTCCCCCTCAGACAGGTATATGACGACAAACATGCAAGGCCCAGGGCGAAAATGTGATGAATAAAAAGGTATCATTCTTATATAACTTCTTTTCAGACTAGACCCAGAGTTTTACGATATTATCAGTGCGACATGCCAACCCCCTAGCTGCTGCAGGACCATAGAAATACTGACCAGTATTCAAACCTGGTCACAAATATGAAAATTTTGGATGGTTAAACAACAACAAAATATTCCCCTTTGGAATCAGATTTTTAAAAGAACTCAGGGCTGGAATTTTAAGGACTCAACACTGTGACCAATGAAATGTTTTACACTGAAACTGTCTTGAAGAAAGATTTAGGCATCTGACTTACTTTTCAGAAAAGTAAATAAATGAAATCTGCATTTGCAGGATAATTCTAATTTTCAGTTTTCACCCCTCCAGTTTATAAATGGAATACCCCTTCATTTCAGAATTGAGGCCATGGTGCCTCATGGGAGTTGTAGTTTCAGGGCCTCATCTTCACATTCTGTTCCATAGGCTGGTCTCTGTAGTCAGATTACACTTCCCATCATGCACCAAGTCAATCGACTGCCATGATATACCACCCATCCTTTCCAAGAGAAGACAGTGATGCACCATGGGAGGGGTAGTAATAGCAGGGAGTACAAGCCTATAAATGAGAATCAGATCATGAGGCATCTGAATTACAACTTCCACAATGCACAACAACTTTTTTTTTGAAAACATACCCACCTCTTTCCCCCTCCCCATCCCAAATTCCCTCCATTTTCTGTGGCGCCCCTCCACCACTTTCCAAACAGTTCTACTAAGTACCCAGCACCTTCTATTGCTGTGACCCTTGTGGAGAGACTTCGAAGGGAGCACTTAGCACCCACTGGTGGTGCTAATTTTTCCAGATTGCCGAGATGGCCTTCCTTGTCCCGGGAAAAAGAGATACAAGTGCACCTGTCAGCAGTACTTACGTTTATTTGTAAACTGTTCTTTGGTAAACAGTAAGACATAACTTGAAAAGAACAAAAAACAAACAAAAAGGCAAGAAAGTTATTCACTCCAGATTCAGGAATGTACAGGAAACAAACTATGCCAACTCGAGACAAAGGCTGTACCCAGGTAGGGAACTGGACTATTACCCTATGGAACACTTAGCCTAAATCACAGAGCCACTGGGGGGATAAGATCATGCATCACTGCCCCTCTCCCTACTGTGGGCAAAGACTCCGTGACCTAGGTTACAAGCAGATCAGCACGTCTATCTGTGGGGGACTGGAGTTGACTAGTCCGGGACCCATCCAGGTGCTCTCCCTCCTCATCCACTCACACGTCTCCTCTCTAGTCATCTTTGTGGAAGGCAGCAGGGTGGGGAAGGTCTTGGAGGAAGTTGTGGTGCCTCTTTACATGGGGGGCTCATTGCAGAGTACAATTTCCAGTTCCTTGCGGTATAGCTTCCCCCCATCAGAGAGGTTCATGATGCTTTTTCTGTAGTTGGTGAGGTGCTGGATGTTCATTTCCTGGCAATGGTAACCAAAAAGAACATCATATGCAGGATTAGATTTCAAAGTGTGTCATGGGATGAATAGGGTTCAGAGACCTCCCAGGTAGGGTTGCCAACTTGATAATATTTAAATCTCATTAGAAATGTTAAACTCTTCCCAGCCCTTCCTTTCCTCTCCCAAGGCCCCACCTCTGCCTCATTTATTCCCCTGCCCTCCTCTTCCCCCCTCCTCACTGCTTTTCCTCTCCCACTCCAGCCACCCGGGTCAGGAAGGACTCACCTGCTGACCCGGGGCTGGGAGCTGCAGCTGCCCAATGTAGTTAGGAGCTGTCCCTGGTTGAGTAGGGGATGGAGCAGGTGAAGAGACAGTACCCCCCTGCCTTATTCCTCTGCAGCAACCAGACTTCGGATGTCCGATCAGTAGATCAGATTGAACACAATCTGGTGCCCTTTTTGAAGACTAGGCACCTGGCTACTCTTCCCAGAACAGAAGGATTTGGGGGATTAAAAACCACAGGGAGCATGGGAGCTGTAGGTGGGTAGCATGTTGGGAAGAGAGGGAGTTTAAAGGTTGCTTGTGGCACATCTCCCAAGTGAGGAAAAAAAAGGGGGGAGCCTGGAAGTGGGGAGACCTGGAGAAGAAGGGAGCGGACTCTGGGTGGAGGGCTAATGCGACTCAGCTAGCAAGGGGAAATAGACAGTGGCTGTGCCTCAAACCAGATGTGAGCTGCTTCCTTCCTGGCCTAGAGATTCTAAAGTCAGGCTGTGTCTTGACTGCCACTATTTTTTCAGAAAAAGGTATGCAAATGTCACTCGCAATTTGCGTACCTTTTTCCGATTGTTTTTTGGGGAGAGACTTTACCAAAATTTGGCCAGTCTACACTGGGCCAAATTTCGGAAAAACCTCCTCTTTCAGAAGAGCCCTTCTTCCTCATGAAACGAGGAAAACAGGGCTTCCGAAAGTGTGTGTCTGCTCTTCTACTAAAAATGTTGGAAGAACAGGTGCGTTCCCTGGACCGGAGGTATCCCGGAACTGCATAGTCTAGACATAGCCTCAGCATGGTATGCTGCTGCAACACCTCTGAGATCAATGTAGTTTCTCCAGGTTAAGCTGGAGCAAGATGGGGAAATCAGGCCAATCTCTGACGTTGGCCTACAAACACACTGCACTTTCCACTCT